CCCTGGCAGCTCTGGGAGTCTCCCCGGGGACCACGGGGCACCTTTCAGAAGATAAGTAAACATGGACATCTCCCTATGGGCCTCTGATAGCATCATCACCTAACAAACCGAATGATCATTCATTCCTAATGTCAGCTCAGACTAAGCCCAGACTCAAGTCCCCCCAGTGGCCTTTAAAATGGCCTCTTGGGGCGCCTGGGTGGCTTAGTCGGTTGGGCGTCCGACTTTCGCTTAGGTCATGATCTCGCGGTTCATGGGTTCGAGCCCCGCGTCGGGCTCTGTGCTGACTGCCAGCTCAGAGCCTGGAGCCTGTTTCGGTCTGTGGCTCCCTCTCTCTGACCCTCCCCTGTTCACGCTGTCTCTCTCTCTCTCCTAGAAATAAATAAAACATAAAAAAAAAAAAAAAAAAATTTTAAAATGGCCTCTAAAAGGGGTGCCTGGGTGGCTCAGTTGGTTGGGCGTCCGACTTCGGCTCAGGTCATGATCTCACGGTTCATGGGTTCGAGCCCTGCATCAGGCTCTGTGCTGACAGCTAACTCAGAGCCTGGAGCCTGCTTCCAATTCTGTGTCACCCTCTTTGGCCCTCCCCTGCTCATGCTGTCTCTCTGTCTCTGTCTCTGTCTCTCTCTCTCAGAAATAAATAAAACATTAAAAACATAATTTAAAAAATAAAATGGCCTCTGACAGTTGACTTAGGAACTTGCACTGGTGCCAAGCACCCGGGTGAATTTGACACCTGAGAAGCTGGCAGTTAGCTCTCGCTGGTGACTTCAGACCAGCCGATGGCAAGCAAGCCCAGGCCAGCGGAGGAAGGGGAATGGGGTCATGACGCTGAGTCCTCCTCACGGGAGCGAGAGCACACCTTCCCAGGTGCCAGGCTCCCTGCACTTTCCCAGAGAGGGTCCGGTGAGCTTCCCAGAGGCACCCACCTGACTCCCTAAAACTGGATCATGGGCTGGCTGTGGTTAAACCACCTCCTTGTCAACTGGGGTGAATCCCAGGGAAGACACCCCACCTCCCTGGCCCTCTATCTCCTCTTCTGTCAAAAAGAGTCTATGAGGGGCGCCTGGGTGGCTTAGTTGAGCTTCCGACTTTCGCTTAGGTCATGATCTCACGGTTCGTGGGTTCGAGCCCCACGTCGGGCTCTGTGCTGACTGCCAGCTCAGAGCCTGGAGCCTATTTCGGAGTCTGTACCTCCCTCTCTCTCTGACCCTCCCCTGCTCATGCGGTCTCTCTCTCTCTCTCTCTCTCCTAGAAATAAATTAAAAAAAAAAAGAGTCTGTGAAAAGGTGACCAGCTGGCTTCACTCCTTGTCAATAAAACACTAAATAAAACTACGGGGCCCCATCCACCTACGGCACCAGCAACAGCCCAAAAGCTTACAACAGTGGCTGCTGGGGTGCCCGCAGGGAAACAGCCCTCCAGGGGACACGTGGGTGGAGACGGAAACTAGCGCCACCTTCTGGACGGCGATGAGATGGACTCTCCACAATACAGAAAACACTGTGGGGGTGGGGTTCGAGGTGAAACCCAAAAAGCTACAAGTGGGTGAGCGATTATTGGATGTGGTGCCCATAATACAAAGATAAAAATCAAACTATTCGCCTGACACCACGTGGACGAAAAGAAGCCAGTGGCTAAGGCCAACGCATTGTGTGATCCCATTTACACGGAAGGTCCAGGACAGGCAAATCCAGACAGGATGGTTGCCGGTGTCTGGCGGTGGAAACCAGCAGCTGACCGACGGCAAAGGGGGAGCAAGTTACCTTTCTTGGGCCGCTGAACATGTTCTAGACTTGACCATAGAGAAAGAAGCACAATTCTGTGACTAGACTATAAGCCCCTGACTTGTGCACCTTAAACAGGAGAGTGTTACGGTAGGGGAATTATAGTTCAATAAAGCAGTTACCTGGAGGCGCCTGGGTGGCTCAGCTGGTTTAGCGTCCAACTTTGGCTCAGGTCATGCTCTCATGATACCTGAGTTCAAGCCGCCGGCTCAGCTCTGTGCTGACAGCACAAAGCTTGCTTGGGATTCTCTCCCTTTCTCTGCCCCTCCCCCACTCTTGCACACGCTCTCTCTCACATTAAATACTTATTTACTTATAAATAAATAAACTTAAAAAAAACTTACAATTTTGTTAAAGCTGGGTTAAAGACAAAAACCTCCTTAGATCCAGCATTTGGTTTCTAAGAACTAATCCTACGATTCTGTTAACACGTGAGCACAGAGATCTACTTACAAGGATATTCTTGGTACCTCTTTTTTTGGGCAGTGGGTCCATTCTAAAAGCAATGGGCGCAAATACCTAAAGGTCTGTCTGCAAGGGTCAGAGGCTGGTTAAAAGAATCATAGCCCAGGGGCGCCTGGGTGGCTCAGTTTGTTGAGCATCCGACTTCAGCTCAGGTCATGACCTCATGGTTTGTGGGTTCGAGCCTCACATCGGGTTCTGTGCTGACAGTGCAGAGTCTGCTTGGGATTCTCTCTCTCTCTCTCTCTCTCTCTCTCAAAATAAATAAATACGCTTTAAAAAAAAGTTTAAAAACTTTAAAAAAATAAAACATGAAAAGAATTGCCCTTGCCCACCGCACAGTGGGGGCAACCCTTGGTACCCCCCAGGGTTACCTGAGGTGACCTGGGTCAGAGGCCAGGCCCCCCTGTGGCAGCCATCTAAATGTGTCTGCCAGCTGCCCAGGGAGCAGAGCAGAGACTCACTCTCAGGCAGGCAGAGGAAGTTACGCAACTGCGGTTGGGAAATCGGGCAGGGAAGGCCTGAGACCCCATGTCAGTTCACCCAGGGAGGCCGGCCAGCGCGCAACCGGGGCAGGCAGGCAAGCTGGCCTGGGTTTCCAGCCCTCCCAGCTGGCCCTGGGGCCAACGACAGCTCCCTGGGCCTCCCGCAGTGCCGGAGGCCAGAGGAGAAAGAGACCGGACCCTCCACTAAACCCTAGACAGAGGGGTCTTTCTCCACGGGAATCCAAGGTCACGCGAACAATGAAAAGTCAGGCAGCCTCGAAGGTCTGAGGTCCCCCTCTATGCACTTGGTATGGGCTGCATCGTGCCCGCCCCCCACAAACAGATATGCCAAAGTCCTAACCCCCAGGACCTCTCAGAATGTGACCTCATGTGGGTACTGACTCATCGCCGATGTAATTCAAGTCCAGATGAGATCGCCATGGAGCAGGGTGGCCCCTGATCCAACGCGACAGGTGTCTTTATAAAAGGGGGGAGCTGAACGCACAGATGTGCACACGGGCAGAAGCCACGTAAGGACGAAGGCGGAGATCGGGAGAGGCTTCTCTGGGCCAAGGAACACCGACGACTGCCAGGAAACCAGCAGAATCTGGGAGGGACGCGGGGAGCAGGCATATCCCCCCGGGACAAGGCAGCCCTGCTATCACCTCGGCTCACACTTCTGGCCTCCAGAACCGGAGACCAGAGGTTTCTGCCATGGAAGGCGCTCGGGTTGTGCTTTGGTACAAGAATTACAAACATAGTATCTGGGGCGCCGGGGCGGCTCAGTCGGTGGGGCGCCTGACTTCGGCTCAAGCCATAATCTCACAGTGTGTGAGTTCGAGCCCCACATCGGGCTCAGAGCCTAGAGCTGCTTCAGATTCTGTGTCTCCCTCTCTTTCTGCCCCTCCCCTGCTCGCATTCTGTCTCTCTCTCTCAAAAATAAGTAAAACATTAAAAAAATACAGTACCTTGATATAACCACTGTCAGAACACACTAGCTGGTGAAGAAGGTTGGGGGGGCGCGCGCGGGCAAAACATTACAACACGGGTGATGAGCTGAGTATTTTACACAGTGTCGCCCAGAGCAGACCAATCAAGGCCACAGTCAGGGCCTTCCCTGTACCTTTGCCTCAGCCTCCTCCTGGCCTCCAGTGTGTCCTCCATACAGCTCAGGGCAGCCTCTGCTCCGCTCCCAGGTCTCCCATGGCTCCTCTGTGCCCTCAGGACAAGGTCTCAGCCCCTCAGGCTGGTGTTTGAGGCCCCTTCTATGCCCTCGCCCTTCTGTCACACATTAGACTGAATCCACTCTACAAGTTTCAAGTCTTCAAACGGGCCACTCCTTTCCTGACTCAGGGCCTTTGCACAGGCTGACTGTCTTGGCTCTTGACCATTCCAGGCTCTTCCCTCTGAAAATTAATGAGGGAAACTTCACTAAAGCAGACTCTGGAGACTGGGAAGAGAAGCTAGAAGGGGAGCCAAGCTACTCAATGTCAAGTACAGACACCAACAGAAGAATCCTCAATTACAGGACCCAACAGGGAAGAGCATACACTGCATCTCCTACAAGAAATCGCCACCTCCAGAGCACCCGGGGGGCTCGGTTGAGCGTCTGACTCTTGATTTCGGCTCAAGTCATGATCTCACGGTTCAGGACGTCGAGCGCGTGTCTGGCTCTGCGCTGACAGTGCAGTCAGAGCCTGCTTGGGATTCTCTCTCCCTCCCCTGCTCATTCTCTCTCTCTCTCGCTCTCAAAATAAATAAATAAACATTGAAAAAACAAACGGAAAGAAGTCGGCCGCCCCAGTAACTGAGGCAGACACAAACCGTCCTAACCTGAACTGCTTTTCTCCAAACAACTTTCATTCAAAACCAACCCCTCCCGACTTCCTTCTCTCCTCCAAAAGGTAGCATTCCCGTCCTTCGCTGAATCTGTCTATGGTTTTGTCGTAGCTCGCTCGTCCCGAATTACAGTTCTCTCTGCTATTCCTGAGTCGATCCATTTTGCTGGCAAATGAGCCAACGGTTTTATTTTCGGGTTAACACCCTGGGAATACCGGTCCTCACACTCTCAGCTCCTCGGACCTTTGCTCAGAGGTCACAGTCGCTGTGTCCCCTTCCCAATCCCCTCCTTAGAGCGGCAGCTCCTCCCTCCTCCAGTGTCCCCCCCCCCCCGTTCTTTTTCTCCAACCCAGGACTGTCCAGGTTCCCCGCCCACCCATGCGGTGTCCCAGCCCCACCGGTAGCCGGGGGTTCGGGGCTCACTCACAGGTGATTTCCTCCGGGGTGAATCCCAGGACCCTCAGCGACTCCAGCGTCTCGTGGAAGAGCTCCCGCTCCTGGCCCGGAGAGGACGATGGCCCGTTGGTCAGGAAGCGGTAGTTGGAGCAAGGCTCCAGGAGGAGGTCAGCTGCAGGGTGTAACGAGCGGAGGCCAAGGTCAAGGGCGAGCAGTGGAGTCAGACTCACGTCCCAATGGCCACGATGACCACCCTTGGGGCAAGCACTGCTTCCCCACTGGGAACCTCAGTCTCTTCCTCTGTCGAATAAGCGAGGACCCCTTCCTCACAGTGGAGCGCGTGCTTAGCACACATCAGACCCTTTCACCTTCCCTCCGTCAGGAGAGACTGTCAAGTCCGTAACTGCGCAGGGCAGGCAGGAGCTGCAGAAGCAACGAGTCCGCGGGGGCCTGAGTTCGCCGCGGCAGAAGGCGCATGGGTCCTGGAGCCGCGGTGGGGGGAGGGGGGCGCCGGGAGGCAGCCAAGGCTACGGGGGTAGGAGCCAGCCTGCAAAGGAGCCTCGGGGCAGCGGGACCACCATGAAGGAGAGAGCCCCGGACTCTGTTCGGCCGGAGCGCGGGAGGAGCAGAGAGGAGACAGGAGGAAGCTCAGGCAGGTGGCGGCGGAAAGGGGAGGACAGAAGAGGCAGCACGTGCACCTGGGGCAGCGGAGCCATGCAGACCAGGGTCACCACGGCCGTGGCCATGACCGCGGGACAGCAGGATCCGCCAGCAGCGTGGGCAGGGCAGCGCCCAGCAGGAGTCTGACTCCCAGCAGGTGCAGGGCCTTCCACTTTGAAGCCAGCCGCCCACCCCGGGCTCCCTCCCTCGCCCGGAGCACAACCCGCCCTGCGCTGACCCTTGAGCTGCTCTCCTGCGCCTCCCAGCAGCTGGTAGAAGATGTGGAAGCTGCATTCATCCTTGGCTTGGCGGATGGCCCTCGACTTCTCCAGCAGGTCTGGGCGGCCAGGAGTCAAGTGCCACAGGGAAAGGGTGGTGACGGACAGGGAGGTGAGACCACGCAGTACCCCCCGGACCCACGCTGCTCCCCACTGCTCTCCTGTGAAGCCATGGAGCTGTTCACAGCCCGGGCCGGCATCCTTGCCACTAAGCGGAAGAGTGGCCTTGGGCCTGTCACTCAAGCACCCGCGCCTTGGTTTCCTCATCTGCGCAAGAGGCTCAACACATCACGTGGGGAAGAGCTGCTGTGAGGGCAGGGGCGTTATCGTGTGTCTGATGCCCACAGCAGTGCAGTTAACTGCAGCGAAGAATCTCTCTGCCCATTGTCCCCCCCTCCCCCCCCGCCTGCCTCAGTTTCCCCATATAGATACCGGGGCCACAGGCTCCTCCCTTCTGGGAGTCACACAGTATGTTCACACACTAAAAACTGGCAAGCCGCACTAACGTCAAATCAAACACATGATGACGTGTTTGTCCCTCGTGCCCCACGCTCTCTGACCGCAAAGCACCTATTTCGCGTGATGGCTGTAACAGAAGACCCCCCCTTGGGGAGCCCTGCCCAATGTCAGCTGCAAACCACTGACCAAAAGGCCTAGGTCGCCAACCTGCACAGGTAAGAAGGAGAGGACCCGGGGAAGTGATCCCAAGGCAGGGTAGGGTTGGGGGAGCACAGCCTCCGGGCCTCGGTTTCCTTTTCTGTTAAATGGGATGATAGCAGTATCTGGCTGGCAGGGCTGCAGAGAGGGGAGCTGGGATCTGAGCTGAGGGTGGGAGCTCTCAGAACAGCACAGGCTGCAGGCCAAACCTCAAGAAATTTTGATCATGCTAGGGGGCGCCTGAGTGGTCTGGTCGGTGAAGCATCCAACCCTTGGTTGTGGCTCAGGTCACGATCTCGTGGCTTCACGGGTTCGAGCCCCACGTCAGGCTCTGTGCTGACAGCGTGGAGCCTGCGTGGGATTCTCTCTCCCTCTCTATCTGTCCCCCACTTGCGCAGTCTCTCTCTCTCAAAATAAACTTAAAAAAGAAAGAAAGAAAGAAATTCTGGTCATGCTGACGCTGGGGCTGAGGGGTCAGGCTGGAGGTGGTCAGCCTGGAGGTGGCGCCCACCGCCGTGAGCACTGGTCCTGAGGCAGAGGTGGCCGTGCACGACAGATGTGCCTGGAGGGGCAGCTGGAACTAGAAAGGGAGGGTGGACAAAGAAAGTTCGCATTCAGGGGCGCCTGGGTGGCTTAGTCGGTTAAGCGTCCGACTTTCGCTTAGGTCATGATCTCGCGGTTCGTGGGTTCGAGCCCCGCGTCGGGCTCTGTGCTGACTGCCAGCTCAGAGCCTGGAGCCTGTTTCAGTCTATGACTCCCTCTCTCTCTGACCCTCCCCTGCTCACGCTGTCTCTCTCTCTCTCCTAGAAATAAATAAAACATTAAAAAAAAATTAAAAAAAAGAAAGTTCGCATTCGAAAGCAGGCGGAGAAGACAAATGTTCCTCCCCGGCCCCACCCCCCACCCCCCGGGACCACAGGGTCAGAGGAGGTACGAGAAGGCGGGATGGCGGGGCAGGAAGAGCTGTGCACTCTAAAAACCTGCAGGTGCTGGTGGCTCTGGGGGACCCGAGCCCAAAAGCCCCAGGCAGCCCCCAGCAACGTATTCCAACCATTAACTCCTAACGAGGACTGCACGTCCCGGAAGGCTCACCATGTGGTGGGCGCCACGCTACGGGCTTGATCCCCACTGTCCTACAGCCCTTCAAGGGCAGGTTCTATGATCCTTCTCCTTCCACAAAGGGGGAAACTGAGGCACGGAGTGGTCAGATAACATACCGAAGGTCCTGCGCCCACAAAGCGGCAGAGCTGGAATTTGAACCCAGGAGAGTGTGATTTCTTGGCCCCTCCTCTTGAATTCTGCGCTCCTGGAGCGCCTGCGTTTGATCTTTTCAATTTTTCCAGTGTTTTAATTTACTTTTGATAGAGAGAGACAGACACAGCGTGTGCAGGGGAGGGGCAGAGAGAGAGAGGGAGACACAGAATGGGAAGCAGGCTTCAGGCTCTGAGCTGTCAGCACAGAGCCCGACGGGGCTCGAACTCATGAACCGCGAGATCGTGACCTGAGCCGAAGTCGGACGCTTCACCACCTGAGCCACCCAGGCGCCCCATGAACTTTTAAATCCCCACTGAGCTCGCAGGCAGCCTATGATGGGCAGGGTTGACACACAGGTCTGAGACAGCCTGCTCACAAGACAGCCCCTGGCTGGCGTCTGGGAAGCTGGATTTCGGGAAGGTTCCCAGCACTCCCTGACCGACAGGGTCTCCCCACCCCTAAGTTGTTTGTGCAAACAACGTGGTTTCTGCCAAACACCTGCTTTCCTGCAGGGAGTCGGGAGTTCTGGAACATTCTAAGCCAAGGGCGCCCACACGACCAGCCCCCAGTAAAAACTGCAGCCGCTGGTGAGATCTGTAACAAGCGTCCCCAGGGGACATGTACTGTCACATCTTGTGGATTGTGTGTGACTCCACAGGGAGGGGGCTCTGCTCTGGTCTCCCCCACACTTGCCCCATGCGCCTTCTCCCTCTGCTGCCTGAGCTCTGTGTCCTCTCTCTCCAGGGGGAGGGGCTGCATCTATGCCTACCCAAGGTTCCTTTCCCTTCCACAGGGGGGAAACCAAGGCACGATTTCTGAGCAGCAGGGAGCCAGGCATCCCCGTGTGTGTGAACAGCTGTGTCCTGTAAGCACGGAGATCCCAAGGGCCACCCTCCCCGACCGCCGGGGGCCCCTCAGACGCTATGAGAGGATACACGTCTCGATGTTGGCGCCCACGATGTACCCGGCCACGTCGAAGTTGATGCGGATGAACTTGCCCTGAGAACGAAGGGGTTACGAGTTAGCTGAGGCTCCTCCTGCACCCCCCAGGACCTGAACAGCACCCCTAACCCCCACCTGCCCCTCCCAGAACTACGGCTGCATTTCAACTTTCTCTCTCCCCCCACGTGAACCCCATCCTGATCGTGAGGTCCCAGCCAGGGGCTCCCTGGGAATCCAAGGTCCAGGCGCCTTTGACAGCTTTCCTCAGGCCCCAGCCCCTCCTCCCTCAGACCCAGGAGTTCAAACCCCAGGTCCTCCTCCTCAGACTCAGGGGTCCTGGCCCCCAGCCCCTCCTCCCTCATATATTCCTTCCCCTTCACCACCCCCTACACCCCTACCTCCCATCTCACTGACCCTGCAGCCAGAGCCCCCCCCGGCCCCCCCTCCCCAGCACTCACAAATCGGGAAGAGTTGTCATTCTTCACTGTCTTGGCGTTGCCGAAGGCCTCTAGGATGGGGTTGGCCTGAAGAAGCTGCCGCTCTAGCTCACCCTGCGGGGCATGATGGGAGACAGCAGGTCACAACGTGGCAGTGAGAGCAGCGCAGGGGTGAGGGTGAGGGGGCTGGCCCAGCAGGGGGTCTGTGCTCCGCTGCCTGGGGCCTGCTTTCCCCGAACCCGGGTCATACGTGGCGGGGTGGAAACATAACGAAACACAAGGAAAGTCAGTTGCAGATCACAACATGATCCCTTGAGAGGGGCCCCTGGGGGCCCAGTCGGTGAAGCGTACGACTTTGGCTCAGGTCATGATCTCATAGTTTATGAGTTTGAGCCCCGCATCCTGCTCTGTGCTGACAGCTCAGAGCCTGGAGCCTGCTTTAGATTCTGTGTCTGCCCCTCTCTCTGCCCCTCGCCCACTCACGCTCTGTGTCTCTGTCTCTCAAAAATAAACTTTAAAAAAATAAAAAATAAAAATAAGAAAAATCTAAGGAAGCCTAGTTGGTTCCGTCTGATAAGCGTCCAACTCTTGGTTTTAGCCCAGGTCACGGTCTCATGGTTTTCATGAGTTCGAGCCCCACATCAGGCTGTCCACTGACAGCAAGGAGCCTGCTTGGGATGCTCTCTCTCCCTCTCTCTGCCGTCCCCCACTCGCTCTCTCTCTCAAAATAAATAAATAATAATTTTTTTAAAAAGAAAGAAAAAATCTATACTATCAATATAAAGTGCTTCAAACTCTGGCACATAGTAGGCCTTCAAGAGACCATAGGTCCCTTCCCCAGCCAGGGCTGCCTCATGGGTCAGGTCTGACTCTCAACTTCCCTAGAGCCATGTCCGCGTCAGGAGCAGAGCAGGTGCTCAGTAAACAGCAATCCCCTCCCCTCCCTCCGGCGAGGCTCTGAGGCCATCGACTAGTTCTCTCCACCCCTGCGAGTCCTCAGACACCAGCCTGAGCTGGGCGCACGCAGGGGCCTGCAGTAATGACCACACGGGTCTCCGAGCTGTGGGAACTCCACGACGCATGGCAATTTGGTCTCTGGGCTGCTTCACGTTGGTATGTGTGGCCACTCCGCACACACACACACAGGACAGCTAACGTAAACAAGCCATCGGTGAAGCGTGCGACTTCGGCTCACGTCATGATCTCACGGTTCGTGGGTTTGAGCCCTGCGTCGGGCTCTGTGCTGACTGACAGCTCAGAGCCTGGAGCCTGCTTCAGATTCCGTGTCTCCCTCTCTCTCTGCCCCTCCCCTGCTCACACACACTCTCTCTCTCTCAAAAATAAATAAACATTAAAAAAAATGTTAACATAAACAAGCTGTGTGGGCCATGGTAGGGCTGGACCACAGGTAGCATGGAATACGGGTGTATGTGTGCAGTAGGGACCCAACAGCACGGCACAATAGCAGTGGGGGCCTGCGTGCACCCAGGAGGACTGCAGTGAGTGACAGCACGGAGCCCGGCATGCACACAGTAGGGCTGCCTTGTGACAACACAGAGCCCGGCATGCACACAGTAGGGCTGCACTGTGACACCACGGAGCCCGGCATGCACACAGTAGGGCTGCCTTGTGACAACACAGAGCCCGGCATGCACACAGTAGGGCTGCACTGTGACACCACGGAGCCCGGCGTGCACACAGTAGGGCTGCATTGTGACAGCACGGAGCCCGGCGTGCACACAGTAGGGCTGCATTGTGACAGCACGAGGCCCGGCACACACACAGTAGGGCTGCATTGTGTCAGCACGGAGCCCGGCACGCACACAGTAGGGCTGCACTGTGACAGCACGGAGCCCGGCATGAACACAGTAGGGCTGCACTGTGATACCATGGAGCCCGGCATGCACACAGTAGGGCTGCATTAAGTGACAGCACAGGGCCTCGCATGCACACAGAAGCAGCACCCGGTGGCCAGCAGCACCCTGGGCCTGTCTGCCAGGAAGACATGGGCTGGGCTGATGGGGGGTGGGGGGAGAGGAGGGGACATCAGGGCAGGACTTGAGGTGATTCCCTGCTACTCACATAAGACACGGTGACGGCAGCCTGAGGAAGTCACGGGACACGAGACACGGACCGGGACACAGACCGGGACGCAGCACATGGAACATGGACAGACACACAGGTGAACCGATGGTCCCAGGTGGAGGGCAGGGGGGCGGGGGGGGGCAGGGAAAGTGGGCGGGCGGGGGGCGGGGCGGCCCGGGTTAGAATCTACTCCTTCCTGGCAGCAGGACCTTGGACAACCAACTTGGCCCGCTCACCAGGCAGGTCAACGTAAGTAAAGGGACCGGCGCTGCACGGACGCTCCCTGATGAAGTCAACTGGGGACCGCAGGTGCTCAGATCAGGCCCGACACGTAGTAGGTGCTCAAGACTGTCAGCACCTACCACATGCTGGGTGCTGTTTCACAGGCTAAGGGGGCCCTCGAATTTCCGTTTCCAGGCACACAGTAGGTGCGCAGGCGGCACGGCAGCCAGTTGAAGGCTCACAGCTGTGGCCCTCCATACGGGAGGCAGGGGATTATGGGGAAAAGCGGAGCCTGAGATGGAGGGGGCACTGCTGGTGGCGGGGTCCAGAGCGGGGCCCAAGGCAGGTGACTCACCGGTACGCCTGGCTCCTTCCTGCCCTTCGGGGACGACGCCACGTGGGCGAGGTACTGGATGACCTTCTTGGTGTTTTCTGTCTTCCCAGCCCCGGACTCTCCGCTATGGGGGAGAGTGCAAGGGGGAGGCAAAAGGGTTGACCATGATGCCAGGTTAAGGCCTGCCCATTCTAAGCAGAGCCACACCCAGCCAGGACCCTGCCTCCTCCAGGAAGTCCTCCCGGATTACTCACGTGCAGAGAATGGACTGATCCTCACGATCTGTAAGAGATAGAGGGGGACATGTTACCCAGAGGGTCCCTCTAGTGAGACCTTGGCTCCTTATACCAAACCCTTTTCAAAGGGGCTAAGGAAGCCTTTTGCTCCCAAAAAAGGGTTAAAATTTTGTTTTTAATGTTTGTTTATTTTTGAGAGAGAGACAGAGCACGAGCAGGCGAGGCGCAGAGAGAGAGGGAGACACAGAATCTGAAGCCGGCTCAGAACTCATGAACCACAAGATCATGACCTGAGCCGAAGTCAGACACTTAGCGGACCGAGCCACCCAGGTGCCCTGCCTGGGCACCTCTGTGCAACCTGACCAGCTGTACCCGGCAACCCCATGTTGCCCGTCACCTACGGGACTGACATTAATTCCGTGACAACGAAGATCGTGTCCACAACACAGATGCTGCATGAATGCACACTAAGAAGCAGTGTCTGGAGAAAATGCTGCAGAGGCCTGGGTGAACAGAGACGAACAGCAAAGCACCTGCCAGGCAGGACCCGAGCTCACCCGCTCAGCCCGCCATCATGGCTCCTCCTGCTCCACAAAGAAGCCTCACGGAGTCTCAAATTCCTAACCTGTCATCTTATCGTGACCCCCAAAACGACCCCTAGGAAAGACATGTCCACAGTCCCCGCCCCGCACTCACCCTGGAGCATGCTGCGGTAGGCCCCCTCGGTCACCGCGTACACGTGGGGTGGCACTTCGTGGCGCTTCTTGCCGCGGTACATCTCCACAATGGCCTCCGTATAGATGGGAAGCTGCTTGTATGGATTGATGACCACACAGAAAAGGCCAGAGTACGTCTGTGGTGGGCAAGAAAGGGGAGGGCTTCAGCTGCCTGCCCGAGGCCCAGAGGGCAGCATGGGACTGCCCGTGTACAGCTGGGCAGGTTGTGCACTGCACAAGGACATCCATCAAAGGGGTCGCCATTCATACCATGACACCACAGATTTGAATGTTTTTTGCAAAAGCTGATGGTAGAAGAGAACCTTTCCAAATGGCATGAAGGTGCTGTATGGATGGGGATTCACCCTGAGAGAGAATGTGGCCTTTACAGCCAGCCAGATCTGGGTCACAGCCCATCACACGGAAAACGACTGTGTAGAAGCTCATCCGCGTTACCCTATATAATGGCAGAAGACTGGAAGTGACCTGCTTTTGTATTCTTTTTTTTTTTAATTTATTTAGGTAATCTCTACCTGCAATGTGGTGCTCGAACCCATGATCCCAAGATCAAGGGCTGCATGAGCTTCCCACTGACCCAGCGTGCATGTTCTTACAATGGATTCCTACGCTACTCTCCATGTACAGCTAGAGAATTCTCTCCAAAACATTATCAAATAAAGAAAACAAGGTGAGGACCGACGTGGGGCTCGAACTCACGAACCGTGAGATCACGACACGAGCCAAAGTCGGAAGCTTAACTGACGGAGCCCCCCGGGCGCCCCGCAAGTCCGCAGTCTCTACTGGAAACAGACTCGCGGGCCCTCGTACGCGACGGCCTTGGTGGTCCACTCTCACTGGGGGAAATGCTACATTTCAGGGTCAAGGTGCGTGGAAATGAAGATGTGATTCTTCTTGCGTCTGAGTTTACGTTTTCCCTGAATTCATCGTCACCCGGGGGTTCGGGGCCCTGCGAACAGGCTCAGATCCGTTCCAGCTCCCGCAGAGCGTCAGGCAGACAGAAGGCACCGAGGCCACAGAGAGGCGACAGGATGGCTAGAGAGCTGGGAGGCCACCGAGCGAGACGAAGCCCGAGAGCGAGCCGGCGATGCCAGCGGAATTGCCTGGCAAAATGAGCCAGACAGTTGGCCGCCCGGTGGCCTGGCTGCTTAACTATTGAGCCACTCGGCTATTTGGCCAGCAAGCCAGCTACTTCGTTGGCTTTGAGCACAAGGGCGGCTTTAAGCTCAGGCGGCTCGAGCTCTGGAGCAGAGCAGGGTGTGGCCACCACAGGCCGCCCGGCTGCCTGGTGCCAACCTTTTAATAGTGGGAGGGTGGGTGGCCAGGCGGGAGTGGAGCAACCGGTTTGCTGGGTGTCTGCCGTCCCTGCCTTGAAGAGCGGCTCGCGGCTCCGGCTTGGCTCGCGGAGGGCGGGGCGGCCAGACCACATTCCCTGGGAGGGTATCTCATGGCTCCTGGTGCCCCGGCCCCCACTCCCGGCTGGCAGAGGAACCCCCTCCCCACGCCCCCTTCTGCCAGCCACGCCTCGTTGCCAGGGCGACACCCCCCCACGCCCCATGGCAACCCAAGCTGGCTGCCAAGGCCAGGGAGCAAAGGGCAGAGGCAGGTGCACGCAGAGAGGGTTGGGGACGCCGGGCGTCAGGGGGCAGAGCTGCGGACACCCGGTTGGAAGGGTCTGGAGCAGCCGCCCCAGCCCTCGGGGCTCCGAAGCTACCCAGCCCAGCGCCTCTCTCCCAGCCTCGGTCTCCTCCCCACCGCAGAGGCGGTGGGGATTGAGGGAGGTAATGAACAAACCCAGCCAGTCCAAGGCGGGCCCGGAAAAGGCCCTCCCGACACGGGCCCCAGACTCTCGCATTACCCGTCCCACCTGGGAGCTAAGCGCTCGCTCAGACCTGGAGGCCACGTCACCCTGGGTTTCCAGCGGCGTGTGGCTTCTCCGAGCCTCAGTCCCCAGGCCTGGGAAATGGGGCTTTTAGCCCTCACCACCTAGAAAGATTCTTTTTTTTTTTTTAATGTTTATTTACTTTGAGAGAGAGATAGACAGAGAGAGAGGGAGAGAGACAGTGCCAGTAGGAAACAGGCAGAGGGAGAGAGAGAGAGAATCCCAAGCAGGCTGCGATGCGGGGCTTGAACTCACAAACCATAAGATCATGACCGGAGCTGAAACCAAGAGTCAGACACTTAACAGACTGAGCCCCCGGGGGGGGCCCCACCACCTAGACAAATTCTGAGAGTGGACCCCCACGATGCGTCTTCCAGCGCCCACCGAGCAGAGCAGGGAGCCCGGCGTGCGCTCCACACATGGCTTCCCTTCCTGCCCAAAGCGTCCCAGCGAAGGGACTGAGGCCCTCAGCGACGCAAAGCCAAATAACGTTACTAGTGGCAGAAAACGGGTTTCCGGAGCCCAGTTTCCCCCGGGAGACACTGCGGTCCCCATCACGAGCCAGCCACTAAGCAAATATTTACGAAGCCCGGCCGAGGGCAAGCTGGGTGCAGGCCGGTCACACCTCTAACACCCTCCGGCTGGCAGTTTTAGCTTTCTGGGCCTCACTTTCTCGTCCAACGGGGACGGGAACAGCCCTTCCACACAGGGCCGCTGGGAACCATCCACAAGTTCATGTTGCACGAGAGGGGGGCACCGCAAGGGCCCTGGCACGCTGTGCGAGCTTAGCACGTTAGCTGCTAACTACTGCCCGGCCAGCGGCTTCCCCTCTCCACGATGTGGGAGTAGCTGGTAATTCCCACCTTGCAGCCCTGCGTGGAGGGGGGTAGTCAGCAAGATCACATCTGAAAGCTTAGAACAGGGAAGGCAGGCACTCGCTAAGTGCTAATGATGATTATTAAGGCCCAATTAGGTTCTTGTCTAGTCTTCTGGAATCTTCCATCTCACTTCCATTTGTGAGATCCGGAGCAGAGGTCTCTTTCCCAGGGTTTGCAAGAGCAAGGGAGGACTCAGCAGAGCCCAGTGCAGCCTGGAGAAGGTGCCAAAGCCATCCGGGGTCGGACAGCCCTCGATGCCAATCCCACACCTGTCACCAGAAGCTGAGGGGCCCTGAGCCGCCCACTGGCCCTCACAATCTCGGTCCCCTCCTTCCTAAATGGGAGTCTGACATCATAAAAACACTCTGGTCTCATGCTTTGTGACCCTTAACAGGGTGGATACTGGGGCCACTTTGTTTATTTATAATATATAATATCCATATTAAATATACTTATTTACAGTATAATAGCATGATATTTCTATATAAATATTAGTATTTGTAATATTTTTGATATATGTCACCCCTGATGTCGATGTTCTTTTATTACTCTCTAAAGTTTTGTTGCTGGGGACATCTGGGGGGCTCAGTCGGTTGAGCGTCCAACTACGGCTCAGGTCATGATCTCGTGGTTCATGGGTTCGAGCCCCGCGTCGGGTTCTGTGTTGCCAGCTCAAAGCCCGGAGCAAAAAAAAATTTTTTTAAGGTGCTGTTGTTGTGGTTTTTAATGTAAAACCAGCACTGTCCCTTTGAAGGTGTTAGCTAGGAATGTGAAGATTTTTCTTGGGGGGGGGCCCACACAGAGGCGGTGAGGCCACACCCTCTAAGCAGATGTCTGGAGTACAGCTCTGGGGCCAGCTGCCTGGGTTCAAATCCCGACCTGACTCCTTCCTATCTAGGTGACCCGGGACCCACGTCACTTAACATTCCTGAACATCAGGCGATAACAGTCCCCAGCCCAGAGGTGCCCCAACAGCCCACAGTCAGCACTTAGCACAGCACTTGGAGCATGGTAAGTGCTCAATAAATATTTGCTAGCCACCATTATTATTATTTCTCGTTATTATTGTCGACATTCTTTGTCAATCTCTTTAATCCTGTTTGTTCTAATAACGCTCTGCCTGCTCATTAGACCGTCCTGGAAGCTTATTAAAAATACCAGAGGCCGTGTCACAGCCCCAGGAAGGCTGATTTAAACGGGCAGGGTGGGGCTCAGGCACTAGCATTTTCAAAAAATTCTCCACGATTCCAATGCAAAGACAGGCTTAAGAACCACTGCCCTGATTCACCTGTTTGCTGTGAAGACGAAATAATGTGAGTCAATGCTCAACAGACACTAGACTACCATAGTCAACCTCACTATCATCAATACCATTTTTATCATTTTTAAACTTTTTTTTAAAGTTTATTATTTCTTTTTGAGAGAGAGAGACAGAGAGAGAGCAGGAGAGGGGCAGAGAGAATCCCAAGCAGGCTCCACACTGTCAGCACAGAGCCCGACGTGGGGCTCGACCTCACTAAGTGTGAGATCCTAACCTGAGCTTAAATCAAAAGCCAGAAGCTTAACCGACTGAGCCCCCCAGGCGCCCCCTACCATCTTTATCTTAAGAGGCACCATAGCAAAGGGATGGAGCCTGGAGCCAGCCCACCCAGGTCCACCATGTCCAACTGGGTGACCTTGGTTAAGGGACTTGACCTTTCTGTGCCTCAGTGGGTTTTTTTAATCTGTAAAACGGGGACAAAACGCTTTATAATTGTGAAAGTGTATCGAGGCAATATATTTAGGAGAGCCTAGTACATGCTTAATACATGCCAGTTGTTATTGTTACTAAATCTCTCCGGGGCCTCGGTTTCCTCTTAGATAAAACGGGCTCAATAACAGCGTCTACTTTGTGCAAAGGGAGAGGGAGTGAATTAATATATGGAAGGCATTTCGCACAGGGCCTGACCTGAGGTTTTCCATACTCGGAGGTTGTTCCCCATTATTATTACAGACCCATCCATATCTCTTTCTCAAAAGCCTCTGGATGTGTTCTATTTGAGAATTCGGAATTTTTTTTACACTTTAGGGAAATAATAAAGGGCAGGGCATGTACCGTATAATGTTCTGGGGTGGGACGCAGTTCCCGGAGCCCAATAGATTGTAATCTGGCAACAACGCGAATACCGATTAGAAATGGCCCGACGGCAGTCAGGTCAGGCCGGGTGCGGACACCCAGCTCCCGCCCCAGCACCGCGCTCCCCGCAGGAGGCCACTCACGTAGATGAGGCCCGAGTAGTAGCGCTCCCGGAGATTGTGCAGCACCGAGGCCTCGTTGAGACACGTGAGCTCGGCCATGTCCTCCGCCTTGCTGAACTTGGGCGGGTTCATGCGCTGGATCTGGTCCCGCGGCAGCCGCAGCCGCCGCCCGCTCTCCGCCAGCTCCACCTCGGCCTCCTCCTCGCCCTCGTCCCGCAGCGCCGCCGCCTCGAACCCGTGCAGCTCCGAAGGCACCCACACCAGGCGCCGCGCCGTCCACTCCACCTGCGGCGCGGTGCCCGCGCCCCCGGGCCCGCCACCCACGCCCGGCCCACGGGGCGCGAACAGGTACGGCTGCGCGGCCTCCGGCACGGGGCTGGGCCTGGGGGCCGCCTTCCGCCCGGGCACGGACAAGGTCACCGCGGCCATGGTCTGCAGGGGAGAGAAGAGAGTGGGGGTCAGCTGCGGCTCCATCCCCAGCCCAGACCGCCCCGCCCCCCAGGCTGTCCCTTCTGCCTTTCTTCACCAGACCTCTTTTTACACATCTGCAAAATGGGCCCCCAGATCTCCTTTACTAATTCCATTCACTCATTCAGTAATTATCTAGTAAGCCTGGCTGAGCCCAGCACCATTCAAGGCCTTGGCAAAGGACTCTGCCTACACGATGACTTTACACCCCAGCCCTGTGCTGTCTGTCCAGTATGGGAGCCACGGGTTCACCCATACCGTGAAATGGAGAATCCAAACGGAGACAGGGTCCTAAGTATAAGATGCACCCCAGATTTCCTGGTACCCCAAAAGACTCATTCGTATTTGTTATATTTGATGATGGCTATATCGCAATGATAGTTTGAATACATTGGGTTAAATAAAATGTATCACTAATATCACTTGCTCCTTTTGAGCTTTTCCTTTTTTTATTTTGAGAGAGAGAGAGAGAGGGCGCGCGCAGGGGGGAGAGAGAGAGAAAGAAAGAGAATCGTAAGCAGGCTCCACGCGCCACGCACAGCCTAATGCGGGGCTAGTTCCCACAACCCTGGGATCATGACCTGAGCTGAAATGAAGAGCAGAGTCTCAACCAACCGAGCCCCCAGGTGACCCCAAGTTGGGGTTGTTGTTTTTTTCATTTTTAATGCAGCAACCAGAAAATATTAAATCACACATTTGGCCTGCACTGTATTTCTGCTGGATAGCGCTGCTCTAATCCCGGGAGACAGATAAAAAGATAAATAAGCAAATTATACAGTATGTTAAATGTGATAAGTGCCAAGAAGAAAAATAAAGCAGGGAACAGGGGTGTCAGGATTGAGGGGTGCTGCGGTTTTAATTGCCCAGGGAAGGCCTCTCTGATGTGGTATTTGAACAATGACCTAAGGGAGATGAAGGGAGTGAGCCATGGGAATGTCGAGAGGTGAAGCATTCCAGGCTGGGAGAAGAGCCTGTGCAAAGGCCCTGAGGCAGGAGTGTGCCTATGTGTCTGTGGCATTGTGAGAAGACAGTGCGCCTGGAGCCAGGTAAACAGGGAGGGAAGGAGGTAGGGGAGGTAACAGTGGGGACCAGGAGGGCCACCGCGGGTCCCTAGGAAGGTGTCCACCTCTGGTGTACCCCACAACTGCAGACCACACTCGAATCTCACACCTTAGTAACCAGTGCCTTGCTTCTAGGCAAGCTGCCTTCCTTTTTCTTTATGATGGGGAGGGAGGGCCCATTCATTCATTTCTCCACTCACTCGACATTCCCTGAGGCTGTTCAAATACCAGGCTCTGCCTGGAGTTGAGTCTGGGGACCCAGAGATGCTTCCAATGGGGCCCTGCCTTGAGGAGCTCCCGGTCTGGGGCACGATCCAGCTCTGGTCTCAGACAGCCTTGTGAGCCACGAGCGGCAGGGGAGCCACTGGGGGAGCCAGAATGTGCTGGAGCCCTCCCTGCCCTCAAAGGGCACACAGGCCAGCAGTGAAGGGGCCACTGCACTTCCACAGCAGTCTAGGCACCAGTCGGGAAAAACACCCCACTCCCCCCCGCCCCCGTCCCTCATCGTGGCCTGGTCCAGTCCGCCTCTGTTTTCCTCCACCACCTCTAGTGCCCGCATCGCTGCCCCCTCCCCCCCCCCCCCCCCCCCCCCCCCCCCCCCCCCACGCCGGTCACCGGAACACGCGAGTATTTGTCTCCCCCACCTCAGCATTTCTGCCTCAGCCCGGCAGGCCCGCCATACCCTGGAGAAGTCCCTCCAGACACCCGGCTCTTTTTTTTTTTTTTTTTTGAGAGAGAAAGAGAGAGAGAGTGCAACAGCGGGGAAGGGGGGAGGGAGAGAGAGAGAATCCTAAGCAGGCTCCACGCTCAGCGCAGAGCCCCACGCGGGACTCAATCCCACGACCCTGGGATCATGACCTGAGCCCAAATCAGGAGTCGGACGTTCAACCAGCTGAGCCACCCAGGCGCCCCACCACCCACACCCCTGCACACGCCTCGGTCCGATGCTCTCCCCGCCCCCAAGCAGCAGGGTTCTATCACCCTCCGCCCCACAGGCCTCCCTTCGCCAAGGCTACCCCCAGGGCTTCCGGTGAGGCCCTGATCCACCCAGAGCCAAGCCCCATCCCTGGGACTTTGCCCCAACCCTCACCCTTCCCCACCCCACCCGCTCTCCCTCCCATCCGCGACCTTCGACCAGGAAAGGTTTGGGAATTTTTGCAATCCTCCAGTCCCCGGCCTCCCCTCCCTAGCGCCAGGAGTCTGGGCCCCCAGCCCCTCCTCCCTCGGACACCAGAACCCGGGGTGGGGGGCCCTCACCTCACTGTGGCCAGGCTACAGGTGAGGATGATGGGACATCCGATGGGACATCCGAATTCTGAGGACCGACAACAGCCCCGGTGCGGGTGCCGGAAGGCTTTGGCTCCAAATGGCCGAGCCCCTCGGGCAGCCCCGCCCTCGCTAGCCGGCAGGAACGCCTCCGCCCGGCTCCTTACTGTCACCAAGACAGGTGCTCTCACCTGCCCTGGGAGGGGCAGAGACTGCTGGGCTGGAAAAGGAAAAGGAGCCCGGGATCCGCCCCGGGGGCAGGGGCTGGGCCCTTGGCATCCAGCCCTCGGACCTCAGCCTAGAGCTAGTATTGGAGTGCCCTCCTCGCCAGACCCGGAAATCTGGGCCCCCGGCCCCTCCGCCCTCAGACCCAGGGGTCCGGGCCCCCGGCCCCTCCGCCCTCAGACCCAGGGAGCTGAGCTCCCAGCCCCTCCTCCCTCAGACCCAGGGGTCCAGGCCCCCGGCCCCTCCTCCCTCAGACCCAGGAGTCCAGGCCCCCAGCTCCTCCTCCCTCAGACCCAGGAGTCCTGACCCCCAGCCCCTCCTCCCTCAGACGCAGGAGTCCAGGCCCCCAG